AAATCAAGAGATGATATTGATGAAAAATTCTAACAAACACTTCAGTTTTGTCTTTAGGTGAGGTAACAAAATCTAGACCATGCAAGACAGGTGGAAAATAGTTTTCCCCTTGCTATAGATAATGTTAAAGATTCTCCAGATGTCTCTGGAGCCCAATATTCGAGATGAATTACGAGATTTTTTGACCTGAGAAAAGTGGGTTTTGGCGTTAAACAAAACATTTTTACAATGTTTACTAGCAATAGTAAATAGACGTTTATTTTTTGGAGAATTATTTTAATGATAAATATGGAAGTAATGGTTATGATTGGAAATTTCAGCCGCACAACAAAATCCATGGGGGAGAGTGAGGCTTAACTTGGAATTGTCGAGGAAATGAAAGATTCCATGACATTCTGAATCCAATAAATTACATAAGAAGCATATTGGTCAGCAGAAAGACAATAGACTTCTACTCAAGAGCCATCACGAAGAAAATTACGGATAGAGTTCAAGTCAGCTTTGAGGTAGTTGTAAGAGGTACGATGATTGGGGAATCCTGATGATGAAGACGAACTGTTACTTATTATTCTCTTTGACTTACTTTTATTAACTGTTATAAAGTATTATAACTGTAACTTATTAATATTATAACAATTATGCAAAAATATTTTTAAAATATTAAAAAATCTTTTTTTATTTAATAAAAGTAAAAATAAATTTTACTTAATAAAGTAAAAATAAAAAGTTGATGTTAATCAAATAAATTTTTTAATTTTCAGTTAGGTCCGTGGGGTCTTATATGGATTTCATTACAGTTTGTTGTTTTAGTATTTTGCATTGTCCTAATTATGTTAAAAATGTTTTTCTATATTTACGTTCAAAATTGCCGTTTAATAATATATACAGTTTCGAAGCATATAAATACAAATAAAAATTGGCGGGACAAGAAGAAGAGTTATTTAGCCTTATCACCGAGCCCCATTCTCACGTATTTACAAAAACCGTAATATTTAAATATCTATAGTTAACAAACTGTTGATTAAAAAAAATATAAAATTAAAATAGATAAAATTAAAATAGTTGTCATTTAAAAAAAAATTTAAAGAGTCAAAATTTAAACAAAAAGTAAAATCAAGTGAATAAGAAAAAATAAATAAGGTATTTTCATTTGTCTAAAACTTGAAAATTTAAATAAGATTTAAAAATAAAAAGTAAATAAAATAATATACACCATAGAAATAACATAAATAAATAAATATACTTCATAGAAATAACGTAAATAAATTAGCAAACGCCATAGAGGTAATAGGCAAGGTGAATAAAAATGAGCAATTGCTTTTACTCAGTAATTGTTCAGCTTTACGTGAATAAAAACTTTAGAAAATTTCCTTAAGCTTTTATTTATGCAAAGCTGATCAATTACTGAGTAAAAGCAAATGCTCATACTTCCACAAGTAAGGTCCACGATAAAGAACTGAATATTAAGTTAGTTTTGAATTATATTTAGGGACAACAAAGTTGTTGTTTCAAAATTTTGTTGGATATTTATGAACTATTTTGTCAAAATAGGATTGAAAGATTTAAGAGATGATTTGCTTTATACATGAACAGTAAAACTTGGTGTAAGTTGATTTTATATACATTTAATGCTCCAAGTATACGCAGAAGAGACTTAAAGGTACAGTTTTATCAGCTCCAAAAGTTGTTGTACACGCGTATTTTTGTTTACAGTACATTTTTTCAAATTTTGTATGGTTTGCACTTGCCCACGCAATATTGCAATAAATTAAATGACAATGGATAAAAAAGAAATATAAACTTTTTAAAGAACTATTGTTTAAAAATGGTTTAGTCCTATATATCATTGCTAAATTTTTTGATATTTTATTTTCAATACTTTTTATATGTAAACTCCAACGTAAATGTTCATCTAAGATTACGCCTAGAAAGTTTACTGAATTTTCTCTTTTAATGTTAGTGTTATTGATTATTAAATTAGGAAATTTGATGGGAATATTTTTTGATTTATACACTTTGTGAAACAAAATAATTATGGTTTTATCCACATTTACAGAAAGTTTGTTACTCATAAACCACTCATTAACTTTCGATAATTGTTTGTTTATTGTTTCAAATAGTGTATTAATATCTCTGTGGGAATAAAAAAGATTGGAGTCATCTGCAAAAAGAATACAATTTAATAGGTCTGTTGCTAAATTTAAATCATTAATGTACACTAGGAACAACAGTCGTCCTAAAATAGAGCCCTGCAGGGCTCTATTTTAGGACTACTTGTGGGGTTCCCCATGGGGAACCCCACAAGTTACGGCAGACGGGAATGTTTGTTTTTGTCCATACACTATAAATTGTTTTTTATCGGTCAAATAACTTTTGAATCAGAGTAAATTGTTATTTTTTACTCCAAAGTGTTCAAGTTTTTTTATTAGTATATTATGATTAACGATATCGAAAGCTTTTGACAGATGAATGAAAACTCCTAAGGTAAAGTACTACTGAATGCACATTTTTTTTTTTTAATAACAATAGACCTTGTAAAAAATTGGGAAGGCGGAGCCCTGTCAACAAATAGCCCTGAAACGCTTGCTCCTCTGCTCAAACGTGAGGGCACTTATGTTGTAAAATTTTTAATTTAACGATCTAAAACTAAATTCAAATTTATCAACAGAATTTAAATTTCGTTGAAAATATTGTAAATTACAAAAGTTATGTCAATGCAAAATGTGCAGGCCCTCATTTTTTTTTTGGAGGGGGGGGGGGGGGGAAGGAGATCGGAAAATTTTTACTACATTAGTGCCCTCACGTTTGGGCAGGGGAGGGGATGCAAGCATTTGAGGGTTTTTTTGTTCCCAGACTACCGCTATAACAAATCCGCTATAACAATTTTTTGCAAAGCCTCTTCAAATGGCATAGGTATAAACATAGTTAAGTTTGGAGTTTGCACAATGTGTGGAAGTGGTTTATCTGGAACATCAAAAAATCCTGCGGGCGCCCATGCATGTGTGTGCATAGAGAGAAATTATACCTTCTACTCCCTATACAATACATCTTTTTATGTTGGCAAACTAGGATCTTTAGTCAGAATTTTAACTTTCTATTGACTAGCTGGTTAAGTGCGTAAAATTAGAAAATCAAAGTACGTACTTTCAAATTGAACACTCCCTTCCCCCCCCCCCCCCATATGCTTTCGTTCCATATGAGCGTACGTACTTTATGGACAACCCCTATGATTCAAATGGTGTTGAATTCATAAGAATTTTTAACCCAAATTTGGACCAGCATTAGTAAAGAAGCTGTTTAGTTTTTCAGCAATAATTGATTTATCATAAATTGTGTTTTTATTAATTGTAATTTTTTTTGGCAGAATGTTTCTCACATAAATCACCGGAAACACTAAAAAAAGATGGAGTGTAAATAAAAAAATATCTTTATTTACACTCCATCTTTCTTTAGTGTTTCCGGTGGCCTCACAATAATTTTGCATAACAAAGTTTTTTTGACTTCCTTTTTGTTTTTTCAAATACATTTTTATAATTTTTATATGTCGTTTCGTTTTTACAAATTTTTTTTTTTCCAGTACTTATCATATAACTTTTGTTTTCTTTTTGAAGATTTTAGTAACCCGTTAGACATCCGTGGAGTTAAAACAGTTTGGTTTTTACAATAATTTTTTTTTCAGGAAATGCTTGATCATATTGCTTACAGAATTGATTTAGAAATAGATCATATGCGTTGTTAACGTCATGTGACTGCAATACCAGATTCCAATCAACTTTATCTTTTAAAAGATTTTGAAATTGTTTTACCGAGTTTTTATTGATCTGTCGCCTAAATATAATGGATTGAGAAGGAATACTGTTAAATAATATATTGTTAGTAACTAGGAATGTTGGGAATCCGAAAAGTCAGTTTTGATTATGCCTGTGTAAAGACGGTTATTATGATGGTTATTAGTTATTATATTATCAAGAAGTGTAGAAGAGTTGTTAGTCACTCTCGTTGGCTTGTTTATTGTCGGAATTAAATTATTTTGAAGAAATTTAAACTATTATTAATATTGAAATATTCTAAATTAAATAGGCTCCAAAATTAAATTAAAAACCATTTATTTATTTTGCCCGGAATCTATCCAAACTAGTTTAATGGCTTTGCTCTAGTAAACTGCTTCGAAATAGTAGTAAAACTGAAATCATCAGCTTTAAAGCAAGACTATCTAACGTGGGTATACATATATGGGAAGACTATATAACGTACCTATACAGTATATAAAATATAAACCTAAATTTCAGAGTGGTGAAAAAAAAATATTCCGTTTACCTGCATAAAGTATCTTGAGATCAAAATTAATTTAAGTCTATATTTTTAATACTATCTCAAAGACTTAGCAATAAAACAATGTACATCTAATGGAACATGATCTCATATGGTTTAGTTGATTTAATTTTTTTTCTTACCCAAAAATGAAAACGTTTGAGTGTTTTCGCTATTTTCATTATTTAATTCTTATTCAGTCTAGAAATATGTTTTATGAAAATCTACATTTATTAATAAACATTTATACGTCTACAAATTGTGTCATTTGCATGTGCGTAATCGACACCAAAGAACATCAATAATTTGCACTAATTTAGTTAAGGGGTCGTTCATAAATTACTCATGTTTGGGGCAGGGGGTCCAAACTTTGGGGATTTTTTGTTCTCAAGCTCCAATCATCGCAATTTTTTGCAAAGCATCCTTATTTGACATTATTAACATGTTTGGAGTTTGCTCCATGTCTGAAAGTTAGCTATCTCTAAGAACAAAAATTGCTGGTTGCGCCCCTGTAAAATATTGCAGTTTTATATTAACTTATATTTTTTATCAATTGAGAGAAAACCATAACATAAATTAAAATTACAACTTTGTTGATTATTAGCGCAATAAATGAAAGAAAAACATTAAGTATGAATTTTGCTGAACATGTTTCAAAGTCGGACATTTAAAAAAAAAAGAAAGAAGAATAAAGTTAATTTAGTTTCATGTTTTAAAAATATAAATACAAATTTTTTAATCCTTCAAAGAATAACTACCCGGTAATTATCCAATGTACACGTTAAGACAATATAAATATACAAACAAAATAAAAAAAACATCTCAATTTTGCTACTCATAAAACCCAGGTTTATAAAATCTTAGACATATAAAACCCAGAAGATATAAAACCCAGACTTATAAAACTCAAAAGCTATTTCTTTAAAATGTATAAAACCCAGAATTTTATTATAAAATTCCCTAATTAAAGAATATATATAGAAATACTATTTAACAAATTAGTATTGAACATACAAACAATAAAAAATTTGAAAGAATCACAATGTTGAGAGTATGTACACGCAAGAATCTTGTTTATTTACATTTAAAATTTAAAAAGTGCATTAGTGCGACTGAATAATATGCCAGCTAAAACCCAGCGCTTTTTATACAGTATTATAAAAGCATATTTGACCAGATATTAATAATGTTGTCGAGACCTATTAGATAACCGTCTTCTCGATTACCCAAAACCCATTCAGAGTTATGGTTTATTGAAACACCAACATCAAGTAAATTAGTTTTTCCAAAGTCTATCATCCATATACTAGCTGTATCAGTTTCATCATGAACAAATAGTAAAGAACTTCCTATCATCTAAAACAATAACAAAAACAGCTGTTACTAAATTGGTTTTATCTTTTTTTTTTCATTATCAAATTTTTTTTTTTTGCTTTATGACTAGTAATCTGCTTGTAATTAATTCGTTAAAGTGTTTTAGAACGCGACATATAGGATAAACTATTAACTGGTTATCGCTGAAATTTTTCTATTGTGTTATGTTGTGTAATAAACCTGACTTTATAATAAAGTAATTATCATTTAACTATTTAACCGCATTTAACATTTAACTATTTAAATTTTTTAAATTTAAGAAGCAATTATTTTCGTATAAAGCATTTGAAATAGTTGCAGAACAATTCAAATAATTACAAAACTAATAATCATTAATGAAGATATTTATTAACAAAAGAAATTCTTAATGAATAGGGATTAGAATGTTTTTAATTTACTTCTAGAGGTTGTCCTTTTAATGTGCAAATATCTTTTTTAGGCAAAAAAATTATTGACGGTAAACGCTGTAGGCATTACATGCCTTCTTAAGCACTGTATGAAATTTTTAAAGATGTGTCTAATAAACATAAATAATGATTAAAATACATATGGCCACAAAAATGTTTTTTTTACTGTTAAAAAGTAAATTCAAAAATTAGATAAATCTTCTTAATCTATTAGCTATTTTCCTAAAATAAAAGAGTATAAAAATTGATTACAGTTGCTTAACAGTTAATTATTATCAGGGTTGGCAAAAAAACCCAACCCAAAAAAACTGATAACTTTGATTTTAACACTTATAAATGCTTTATTATCAGCAAATGCAACCTTTATACTGTAATTACTCTTGTAAACACTGTATTTATATACATAATGGTATTTAGAATATACCCAAAACCGATCAATCTGTTTTTGTCGCAAGTTGGTTATTTATTATTATTTTTAAACATTTAGCAAGTTATTATAAATGTTATTGAAATATGTATTAAAACATTAAATTAGTTAAATACTTATAAAGGAAATAAAAATCATTCTATTAACTAAATTTCAAGACATTACTAGTTATTTAGTATCTTTATTCTCCTCTCGAATGTCTATATTCCTTTATATTGGTATTTGCTCTTTTATTTTTTAAAGCTTGTTGTAAACTGCAAATTTCAGTAGAAAGCCACAAGCAAAATACTATATATAAAAATTATTAAACTTTATTTACAGTTTAGAAATGGAAAGTTGTCAGGCAAAAAAAAATGCTACAGTTTACTAGATTTGTTCTTAAGTACATACAACTTTAAAACTTAAAAAAAATAAAGTTATGTGCAAGCAAGTTTGCAAGATGTTTGCTCATTCAATGAGAGAACATGTTGAAAACTTGTATGCATTTCACAAAGACAAGATTTGTTGGTAAAAATGACACTCGTGCTCATCTGTCTTTTGATAGGTTTTGAATATTTTGTATCAGCTACAAGTTTACAATATGTACCACCAACAAGGGTGACTATGAACAGCGGGTTGAAAATTAACATCAGTATCAAGTTGCTAAAAAGTGAAGAAACACACACAATAGAGCTGTATAATGTGTTACTTTGATTCAGTTTGCAATTTGCATTGCAAAATTGAGCCGGTTAAACATCTTCAAGGAAAAAAAAAAACTTGGTGGCAAAGACACTGTAATGGTTCTTAACAAATTTATTTTAGATATTTTAAGAACAACTAAAGTTTAAGCAAAATTCATTTTTTGCCAGTCCAGTTGATCAGGTGGATAACTTTTTTAGGAAGCTGGACAGTATAATGTTCTTATAAAAAAAAATGTAGTGATTAGGCTAGCAGTTTTCTTCTATGATACAAAAATGTTTAAAAAGTGTTCATAGTCAACTTGATTCATAATAACTTATAAGGTTGCAACATCATGTTGCAAACTTGTTGATTACATGTTGTAAACTTGTGCAAAATAGTTTTTGAAATGATATGTTGAACATGTTAGTAAAAAAAACTAGTTTGCAACATTTATATTGTCTTACCAACTTTGAGTAACTCAATTGTCATAATAATTTTTATACTGATTTTTTTTTAGTCAAAAATATTCTGAACGTATTTTTAATTTAGTGCAATTAATTAACATCATTTATAGTTGATGGAGTCCCTTTTTGCACTATAGGTAAAATGTGCTAGTAGACTAGTAGTAAAACATTTGGCTCGCAACCAGAAGGTTGGGGTTCAAATTACCTCTGCTGAAATTACTGTGCTCAATCTATTTCTCCGCACAGCGCCTTTGTTTAAAAATTTTAGTTGTTAATGTTGTTTGTTAGTAAAAATGGTAATGTTAAGGTTTGAGACAAAATATTTTTAAAAAATGAGTTGCTCCCTTGACTGAAGTGGTCATTGGAGCAATAGGATGGTGAATTTATGAAATTAAAAAAAAAAATTATTGTACTCATACAATTATAAAAATTTGGTATTTTGATCGGTTTTTAAAAAAACCCAAAAAACCCATAAAACCTAAAAAAACCCAATAAAACCCAAAAAAAACCCATTTGGGTTAGGTTTTTTTAAAAAACCCTGGGTTTTTTCTAACCCTGATTATTATTAAATAAAAAAGAAAATAGTAAAAATATAAGAGCATATATGAAGTAAATAATAAAAAAATATTTTTACAATTGAAACTGTAACGATAATTCGATTGAAAATGTAAAGGTAATTCGAAATTCAAATATTTTCTGTTTTTGATCACATTTAATTCAACTAAAGTCGCTAGTATTTTAAAGAATATATTATTTATGATGATATGCTGAAAGTCTTTATAAAGACTTTCAGCATATCATCATAATACTTTCTCCATTTTTCTATATATAGAAAAATGGAGAAAGTATTATGCTGAGTCCGGAAAAAATTTTCTTCACTGAAACGGAGTTAAACAATGCTAACGGTTCTTCAGATAACAATGTTATTTGTTTGCCTTATACTTTAATTTTTTAAATGTTACTAAGAAAAACATTACAATATTGAAGTAAAACCTGTTTTGCTAAACTAAACATCAGATAAGCGACATGAGTATTGTAATAATTATTTAAAACTTTCATTGTTATTTTTAAAAAAGGAAAATTATTCTTAATTTTCCTTTTTAAAAACTGTATTATAATTGTTTATGCTTGCTTGCCTAAAGATTCGATATTATTTAAATATAATATAAGATATAAGGATACTTTTGACTTCACTTTAATCTATTTAGAAATATTTATATATATATATATATATATATATATATATATATATATATATATATATATATATATATATATATATATATCTCAAAATGTATTTATAATATTGCGTATTTAGCTAATATGATGTCATACTGAAATAGATAGCTGTGAGAACTTCAGTGCAAACATCAACTTTCTAGGTAGTATATTTAAGGGAGTGCCACTTCATCGACTATTGGTTTGGATTGGAAAAAGGAATCAATTTTTTCACTACACTTCGTTTTTTACTTTTTCCAAATAAATCTGTATAAATCAGCAAAAAAAGATTTTAGTTATAAAATTAAATGTGTTAATAAATTTTTATTATTTAGAAGATGATATAAGATCATTATAGTAGTGGATCTAGTCATAAAAACTTAAATCTGCAAGGTATTAACATACGAAGCAGAATTTAATCTGCTTTAATAAGTAGCTACCTCATGTCTCTTGAAAAATTCAGAGCATTCTAATGTTGTTCGAATTGCTTTCAGACGTTGCAAGTACTTTTCCTAAAATCATACATAACACAATATATATATATATATATATATATATATATATATATATATATATATATATATATATATATATATATATATATATATATATATATATATATATATATATATATATATATATATATAACATGTGATACCTAGAAATCCGGACAAAACTTAAAAACTTATAACTTTGAGACTAATGTGCAATTTTATTTTTGTAAAAAGATAATTAAAGTTAAGCATATGAAGCCTAAAATTTAAAAAAACTATAAGTTTATCATGCCATGTCTGCGAACTTTGTCCACTCGGTTGAAAGTCTTGCCAAGTCGATGTACGCAATCTTGACTGATCCATTTTATGCAGTAGTTGATCCTGTCAGTGAGCTGTTCGAAGTGTAGAAAATAGCGTTTCCAGATAGCTTGTTATTGCTCAACAAAAAATAGGACTCGTCGTCAATGATCACCTTCTTTTTCCGGAAAACTCTGGCCAGGTGGGCGCACTTTGGACGAACGGCTGACTTCTGTTGCGGAGTTCAATCCAGAACTTTTTTCTTCTTTTTGTATTTGATTGTTGTCTTGGTGCTAATTGTTTTTGATATGTACTTTTGGCTGACACTATACTCGCGGGCTAGCTGAGGCTGGCTAACTCCGTCACTATGACCGATTTGCTTTTTCAGCATGGTGATTTGCTTTGTGTTTATCTTGATTGCCACCTGTCCAGTTCCATGCTGTCTTTCAGGGCCTATTTTGAGCGTCTTGCACTGCAGAATATCATACAGGGTCGACCTTGATGCGCCTTCCATCATGAAGTGTCTCACAATCTCACTTTTCTTCATATCCGGATGCAAATCGATTAACGCGTACACGCGCTCTCTGAGGTCTTCCTGTTTTGAGATAATTTTCTTTGCCATTATTAATAATTGTTTGCTAAAAAATATATTGCAATTTGTAGAGAATTAAATTTACTACAACAGCATAATTTGCAACAATTTTGAAACATTCTTTAAACAATTTATGCTGACCGAATTTTTGTCCGGATTTCTAGGTATCACATGTTATATATATATATATATATATATATATATATATATATATATATATATATATATATATATATATATATATATATATATATATATATATATAAACACACACACACACACACACACACATT